TTCTCTACACTAACAATGAGACTGAAGAAAGAGAAATTAAGGAGTCAACCCCATTTACAATTGCACGCAAAAGCATAAGATACTTAGGAATAAACCTAACCAAAGAGGTAAAGGACTTGTACCCTAAAAACTACAGAACACTTCTGAAAGAAATTGAGGAAGACACAAAGAGATGGAAAAATATTCCATGCTCATGGATTGAAAGAATTAATATTGTGAAAATGTCAATGCTACCCAGGGCAATTTACATATTCAATGCAATCCCTATCAAAATACCATGGACTTTCTTCACAGAGCAGGAACAAATAATCTTAAGATTTGTGTGGAATAGAAAAGACCTTGAATAGCCAGAGGAATTTTGAAAAAGCTGGGGGCATCACAATGCCAGATTTCAGGTTGTACTACAAAGCTGTGATCATCAAGACAGTGTGGTACTGGCACAAAAGCAGACACATAGATCAATGGAACAGAATAGAAAACCCAGAAGTGGGCCCTCAACTCTATGGTCAACTAATATTCAACAAAGCAGGAAAGACGATCCACTGGAAAAAAGATAAGTCTCTTTAGTAAATGGTGCTGGGAAAATTGGACAGTCATGTGCAGAAGAATGAAACTAGACCACTCTCTTGCACCATACACAAAGATAAACTCAAAATGGATGAAAGATCTCAATGTGAGACAAGATTCCATCAAAATCCTAGGGGAGAACACAGGCAACACCCTTTTTGAACTTGGCCACAGTAACTTCTTGCAAGATACAGCTATAAAGGCATAGGAAACAAAAGTAAAAATAAACTACTGGGACTTAATCAGGATAAAAAGCTTCTGTGCAGTGAAGGAAACAGTCAACAAAACTAAAAGACAACCGACAGAATGGGAGAAGATATTTGCAAGTGACCCGTCAGATAAAGGGCTGGTATCCAAGATCTATAAAGAACTTATTAAACTCAACACCCAAGAAACAAACGATCCAATCATGAAATGGGCAAAAGACATGAAGAGAAATTTCACCAAAGAATACACAGACATGGCCAACAAGCACATGAAAAAATGCTCCACTTCACTTGCCATCGGGGAAACACAAATCAAAACCACAATGAGATACCACCTCATACCAGTGAGAATGGGGAAAATTAACAAGAAAAGAAACAATAAATGTCGGAGAGGATTTGGAGAATGGGGAACGCTCTTGCACTGTGGGTGGGAATGTGAACTGGTGTAGCCACTCTGGAAAACTGTGTAGAGCTTCCTCAAAGAGTTAAGAATAGAGCTACCCTACAACCCTGCAGTTGCACTACTGGGGATTTACCCCAAAGATTATAAGCAGCGAAAAACCAAGACACCTGCACTCCAATGTTTCTAGCAGCAATGCCCACAGTAGTCCAACTCTGGAAGGAGACTCAGTGTCCATCGACAGATGAATGGACAAAGAAGATGTGGTCTCTGTATACAATGGGATATTCCTCAGCCATTAGAAATGACAAATACCCACTGTTTGCTTCGACGTGGATGCAACTGGAGGGTATTATGATGAATGAAAAAGCCAGTTGGAGAAGGACAATCATCATGTGGTTTCACTCATATGTGGAATATAAGAGATAGTGAAAGGGATTATAAGGGAAAGGAGGGAAAATGAATGGAAAAATTAGAGAGCGTGACAAAACATGAGGGACTCCTAACTCTGGGAAACAAACAAGGGGTAGTGGAAGGGGAAGTGGGCAGGGGGATGGGGTAACTGGGTGACAGGCACTGAGGAGCACACTTGATGGGATGAGCGCTGGGTGTTTATACTGTATGTTGGCAAATTGAACTTCAATTTTAAAAAAAATGGGGAAAAAAAAGTTCTGAAAATCTACGTTTGCTTCCAACTTCTTCTTTTATCCCACCGTAATATTCTGAGGAATATAATTTGATGACATTTCCATCTGGTCCTTCAATTATTTATTTATTTCTCAATAACACACCACCACGATATCTAGGTTTATAGTGATCATTCTTCCATTTCAGCACATTGACCATTATATCTATAATAGAATTATAGGGCGTCCCTCTGAATTAATATTCAAACTAAATCTGCACTGTAGCTTCACAGATAACTATTTTTAACTGCTTACTTCTACTAATGAAAAGAACTGCCTTCGCCTAATAATTGAGATGTTATACCTGATCAGATACCCATGTTGTGGGGAATGTCTCCCAACAAAATTAAAGGGCCTTTCTGCGTAAAGGTGATGACTCAGAAGTCAAGATCGTGAGGTACTAGAGGACGTCATGAAGCAGACATGACTGCCAAGTAACCCATGAGCAGGACTCAGAGTTTGGAGGTTCCTCCCCTGTCCTGGGAAGGTATAGTCTATCTGCCTTCCCCATCCCCGGAGGCTGCACCAAGGATACAGTCTGGAGACAGAGACATGGTGTTGAGGCTATCCAACCTGGGTACTCAACTGGTTAAGGCCTCCTCTAACCATAACTGAATCTGGTTAAGACTTCTATATAAACTTTTAAGATTCGGCATGCAGGTGCAGAGACGTACTCATCTTGTGGCTGCCCAAGACAAGCCTAAAAGTGCCCTTGCTTATTAAACCTGCCACCTATCAATATGGGGTGATCTGTCTCTTTCTTCTGTCTCGTCCTGCCTTCTGCATCCAGGGGCTGTTTGCAGATGACACCCAGAAAGCTGTCCAGGAGGTTGTGAACCAGTCTTAGGGAATGAGTAGGTCCAGGGTGAGCGCTGAGTCAGTTTCACTGAAATATCACCACCTGACATCTTTGAAAGCAAATTTCCTTCATAAATATTCATCCTTTTAGAGTTGCTTACTTGTCTCTATCCTGCCTAAAACTTAACATGTACATTTATTTTTGTTTAAAAGTTTATTCTATGTCTGCTCAGTCTATTTCAACAAATATAATTATAGATAACTTATGCTTTACTAAATATCTTTGTTATTGAAGTTAAAATAGCATTTATAATGATGATATATTTTGTAGTTAAAGCTGCTCCAGGAATGAGTCTCCATAGTAAAATCCTTTTTGGTTTAGATGTCTAAGGAATGAATCTCAGGACCAACTGGGAGGTTCGGGCAGAAATAACACTTCACGTCTTCTTAAAGGTGCAAAATATAGAGAAAGTATTCAGATGACTTGGATTCTGTACCTTTTTATCTTAAGCAATGCTTTCCGAGGGGGAAAAAAGGACCCAGGTACCATTTTATCCAAAGCTTAAAAGAGCATATGTATTAATACTGCTCTAGGTAAGAAAAACATAGCATGTAAGGAAACCATGATTTTGGGGGTCACATACTGTAAACGCCTATTCAGTCATCTTGGAAAGTTATTTCTAGGCAAAATCTCAGGGTTTTTTTTTCATCTATAATATGTATATGATAACATCTCTACTCATCTTGTAGTACTGTTCTCAGACTATCATAAAAGTAACATTCCTAGCACAGTGTCTGCTGCCTTTAAGTGGAACTACTATTTTTCTCTATAGTCAATACATTTTTTTATTTTTTTTCTAAAGATTTATTTATTTATTCATGAGAGACAGAGAGAGGGAAAGAGAGAGAGAGAGAGAGAGGCAGAGACAGAAGCAGGTTCCATGCAGGGAGTCCGATGTGGGACTCGATCCCGGGTCTCCAGGATCCCACCCTGGACTGGAGGCGGCACTAAACCGCTGAGCCACCGGGCCTGTCCTAGTCAATACATTTTATGAGATAATTTCAAAGTTCAACTTTTTACTCAGTATAAATTATTATTTTTGAAAGAGAATTATTGAAGAAAAAATTCATATTAAATTATTTTATAATAATAATAATTTTCATACCCAACCTGAACTCCTGTTTATTCATGAGGGGATTTTTTAAATGATTTTATTTATTTATTTGAGACAGAGAGAGCATAAGCAGGAGGAGCAGCAGAGGGAGAGGGAGAAGGAGACTCCCCACTGAGCTGGGAGCTGGATGTGGGACTCAGTCCCAGGACCCTGGGATCACGACCTGAGCTGGAGGCAGACGCCTCACCAACTGAGCCACCCAGGCGCCTCCAAGAGGGGATTTCTATTTGTCCAATCATTTTGTGAAAACCGTAGGCTCAAATGTGAGGCAACAGATCATCAGAGCTCTTTTGGAATACAGTGTCAGCACTCATAACATTGTCTGCTGCATTGGCTCTCTAATGCGTGGGTCTCTGGAATCCCAGACTCCTCCACTTGCAGGTTGAAATTAACTCCTGTTCTTGCAGAAACATAGGGAACACATATTAGATTTTTCAGCTGATATCTTTCAGTGATCCTAAGAAGTGTCCTGGGGAGGCAGGTATGCTAGAGCATTCTTCAATCTTTGCTCTCCTCCTTGAAATAAGTTAAACCTGGAAAAGACTCACTGCGGAGCTAGAAGAAGATCACTATTAGGTTCTATCTATGGCACAGATTTCACTGTCCAGGGGCAGTCAATCCTTATTTAACTGCCTATACTTAGTATGGTTAGGGCTTTCACAAAAAAAAGTGTACTTATTTACTTACCTGGATGAATTATCTTTGGAAATATGGAAAAATGAATATAATAAAGTCTCTGGCTGTAACACTTTTAAAATACTGAATTAAATCATAGGCAAGAAATGGAAAGCCATATATGATAAGACATCTGGAAATGATAATGCCAACTTACAGGCTGCTGAACGGCTGGGACAAAGGGCAAGACCAAGGTATGCCTGTCCCTCTGATATGGGGAATCCAGAAACACTGGGTCAAAATCCTTTGCCCCATCTATGTAAACCTTATCATCTACTGCAGGCTAATTTAATAAAAAAAAAAAAAACATCATTTATTCTCAGAGTATATCCACTATCTACACTTTTGTAGATAATTCTAAAGTTAGTTTTACGTTGTTGAGCCCAATACAAGTATGATGCCAAATGCTATGATGCTGTTGTTTAACACTCCAGCAAAAACAAAGCTTCTTTGATTTTTCTGTGAATGACTATTTTGGAGTGAATGATCTTACCACATTTGAGGGCTCTAGTTTCTTCCTTCTTGCAAGATCAGTTATGTTGATGCCATTGTAATTAATGCTCTCCATGCAGCCTTTGAAGTTCTTTCTACTGCTGGAACTTGGCTTCCCAGAGAAAGGTATGCCTCCAAAGGTTATCTTTGAGAAAAGAAAAAAAATGTAAACATTCACACTGTATTTGACTTAATAAAATATTCACAATAAATTAGACTTACTAATTAACAAAACTGTTGATACAACCAAGCTCTCTATACTTCTCCCAGAATGTACAGACATTTTTTTCTGCCTTCCAAATCTGTTGCATATTAAATTAAGTTGTTGTAGAAGTGCGTAACAGTATCATTCCGGCAATTAGATTATAACTTTAACAAGAAAATGGCAATAATCTCTTGTATTGTAACCACTCAAAAGGCATTTAATTTTCCTGAAATGTTTCAAAAGATTTTATATAGCAACCTTCTTTTATTAAGTAATATTAAAAACGAATTTTTATGTTTATCCTTCATAGACATACTAATGAATGTTTCTGGGCATCATGAGATAACCAGCACTGATATAATATAATAATAAACCCTATGTACAATGTAGACTTATTTTTTTAAAGATTTTATTTATTTATTCATGAGAGACACAGAGAGGGAGGCAGAGGCAGGGGGAGAAGTAGGCTCCCCATGGGGAGCCCAGTGCGGAACTTGATCCCAGGATTCTGGGATCGAGACCTGGGCTGAAGGCAGACTCTCAACTACTGAGCCACCCAGGCGTCCCCTATGTAGACTTATTTTAATCTAAATGACCACTAAAGTCAAAGATTCACTAGACTTATTCTGAATGCAAAACACAGTTCAAAAAGTCTTATTACAATATTGATTAAAATATATATTAGGAGATGGAGGCTGTTCTCTGAGCACTATATGCCTGGAACTATTATAGGTCTTCTAATCTAAGAATAAGATAGATGCTCTTGACTGTGATTTTCTGGCTACTATCACCTATAAGAAGAGATTATGTCAAGGCGCCTGGGTGGCTCAGTTGTAAGCATCTGCCTTGGGTTCGGGTTGTAATCTTGGGGTCCTGGGATCTGGCTGCATGGGGCTCCCTACTCAGCCAGGATTCTGCTTCTCTCTCTCCCTCCACCCCAATTCCCTGCTTGTGTACATGCGTGCTCTCTCTTTCTCAAATAAATAATAAAATCTTTAAAAAGAGAGAGAGAATATCTTTTCCCATATATCTTTGGCCAAATTACGGTACTATAGCATCAATTTCCTATAATACAAAATTACACTTAATATACGTATTGCCATAATGACATTTACTGCTAATAGTGAATTAGTGATAAATAAATCTAAATACTAACCAGAGCTGCAATACCAAGATATATAACCCAGATGTTATTTCTATTTTATTATTCAATGTTACCATTATCTTTTCCTATAAAGCTTTGAAAATGAAAGCAATAGTTATGACATTTTTGAATGTCAAGAGTCCATATTTGAAACAATGCACAGATTTTTTTTAAATTATTTATTTATTCATGAGAGACAGCGAGAGAGAGAGGCAGAGACACAGGCAGAGAGAGAAGCAGACTCCAAGCAGGGAGCCCAATGTGGGACTCGATCCCAGGACTCCAAGATCACGCCCTAGGCCAAAGGGAGGCACTCAACCACTGAGCCACTCGGGTGTCCCTGCACAGATCTTTGTGTTCTAGGAGGCCATTAGCAAATTATGTTCTTTTATTTAGTGTCATGGCATCCTAGATGCTTAGTTTTTGCAGGAAAAAAAAAAAGCACAATTAATGTAGTTATGAGACAATATAAAAAAACAAAGACCTCACTTAAAATAAAATTTGTTAATAATGGTTAGCAACCATTATGCATCATTTACCATAGAGTTTATATATGAAAGAAGGGAAAATTGAGAATATATAGAAATTAATTAGGACATGACAAAAGGAAAATTATACTAATGTAAAATAGTAGAATTATTACGAAAACATTTTCAAGTGGCACTAAAAGGAACTTATTAGGTACTAAATAAGTATACCTAATACCAAAGGTAAGAATTACTGATAATTATGTTAAGTGTTGCATTTCCTGTCTACAGTTTATTTTACCAATTCTTTCCTAGTTATTGGTAACAAAATCTATGTTTAATGACATGCAGCATCACATTTTGAACATTATTACTAAATACCATTTGAAACATATTGTCTCATTCTCTCTCCACGTGAACAGTTTATTTATTTTGGGCCTTTCATTTTCTGTTTGGATGATGATTAAACACGCCTGTGGTTTCTCTGCTTTCAGCATCCCTTAGCACATGTCCTACCTCATCATCAGAGGTGCCCTAGTGAAGCAATACAGGCTCAACTTACCAGATTTCCTTACAACTAAGAGATGTGGGTTCAAATCCCAATTCCTAATGTAACTAATCACATAATATTAGGTTGTTACATCTTCTAATTATGTATTCCCATCAGTAAGATGAAATACCTGGACCACGAATATTTTCTGATATTGTAATTATTCAGAAAGTCAAAAAAATTGTTGCAATTGTTAGATTATTCATCAGATATTCATATAACTCATAAGACTGACTTATTAATGATCTTACCATTCAATAACAACGTTGACTCTGAGGAGGTAATCACACTGACCATTTTGTTAGCCACCAAGTGTTTGCAAAATGTGGCAGACGGCTAGATACTTCTAGCGTCCTTTCTCCCTACCTTCTTTAGGAAAACAAGAATGCTCTTCAGCTGTGCACGATGCTGTGCAGCTAACACATGGCATTCACCCACCTCTCTGAAACAAGTTTTGGTTTTATTGAGATGAAAGTAGTAAGACTGTGTTTAACTCCAAAAACCATAATCGAAAGAGGAGGAGAGCACAACCTTCTTCACTCTTCCTTCCCAATGGAATGCAAGATGGAATATGAACAGCCATCCTGGGTGATTTGCAATGGGGCTGGAGTAGCAGCAAGGTTAGAGACCAGAGTCTTGATAACCCGGTCATTTGAGCCCAGTGTTACCTTAATGTTTTAGGTAGTTACCTGCCTAGTGTTACCTTTCAAATGAAGGAGAATAAACAAGCATCTGTTACGTGAGCCTAATTAATCATAACTGATATATATGGTGATTTCTATTACTTCCCATGGCTTCCTCATATAATAATGCTATGACAGGGGTGCCTGGGTGGCTCAGTCAGTTAAGTGCTTGCCTTCAGCCTAGATCATGATCTGAGGGTGATGGGATCGAGCCCCACATTGGGCTCCCTGCTTCTGGGGAGGTTGCTTCTCCCTCACCCTCTCCGCTCCTCCTCTGTGTGAGCTCTCTCTCTCTCTCTCCTCTCTCTCTCTCTAATAAGTAAATAATAAGATCTTTAAAAAATAATCTTATGACAAATGTGCTATTACATCCATTTTCCAAAAGGAGACTGATTTGTCCACTGTCACACAACCAATAAGGAGCAAAAAGGGACTCAAACCCAGGCCTTTTGTCCCAGTTTGAGCCATGCAATTGATTCTCTACAAAATCTTAGCTGGTTTCCCCTCTAAAATCCTAGTGTAGTTCTACAGCTATCAGGGGGCATTCATTCCTCTACCTCCCAAGCGGACAGGTATTGCAAAAGCAATGGCATAACATCCACAGTGATCTATCCTGGAATTTAAGCTGAAGAAAAGAGAGAAGCCAGGCCAAACATCAGTGTGTGGTCCTGCCCTTTAGCTGAGAAGAAGGATGTGTATCTATTTACCTTTGTACCCTTTTTAGGGCACCATGGGGCTAGTAGCTGGCCTGCACACAGCGTTTGGCACACTTCACAGTGTCATTGGGCTCCGGGAGGTGATAAGGTAAACTCTTAAGCCATCTTCCACAAAAATAAACAGATTGAGGTACCTCAAAGGAACAAACTTGTTTTCTACTGCTTCTTTCATGATGTACATCTCTGGGAATAGTGATAGGTATTAGCTTTCCCCTACGGTGTGCTGAATCCCACTCATGCTAGCCCATGAGAACTGATTGTTCAACAGAGCCATTGTTTAAAATTAAATCATATAGTTTTAAATTACATTAAATAATAGGTACTAAGAAGTCATCTCTATATTTTTATTATTATGTATGTTCCTGAGATTACTTATATTCATTGTGTCTATATAAGCTGGGAATACTCTATCATGGTGTGGTGTAATAAATATATTGGGTCTTTGTTCCCGGTTCCTGGCACAGGGCCTAAAACCCTTGGAATTTTCTGAGTGATAGAAATGTCTTCAGTTATTCATAACACCCCTCCTTTGGGGTTTGAGTCTAGTTACTATATGGATGAGTCATAGGTATGTGTGAAAACTCAACTGACTCAGGATTCTTTATCAATAAATTTAAATTTCTTCCCAGTGTGTCTAATGATGTTTCAGGGCATTGTCATCTACAGCTGAGGTTCTCAAACATGGTATGTACGTTGATGGGCTTCAAAGTGTCCAAGAAACTGCTGACTGTGTGTGTGTGTGCATGAATATTCATGGATTCCACACAAACTCAATAGAGTCTATGACCCCAAATTTTTAATTCTGTTTTTTTGAAAATTGGAATTGTGTTTGCCCATTGCTAATGTCCCAAGATCTCTCATCTCTTCTCTGGTACTTCAAAGTTTATTAATGGAGGATGAATAATTCATCTTTAAGTTCTCTCATACAGTGGCAGATAAACCACCTAAGCCAAGAAATGTGCTAATTTAGAAAAAAATAAAACTTCTGACATTTTCATATTCTTTCTATTGCACCAATCATTTTGTTTTAAGGAGACTTTTTTGGGGGATGAAGTTATTTTCTGGTAACCTTAAATTTAATGTTAATAAAGTCTCAATATCAGAGTTTATATAGCATAATCTATTTTAAACTCCTATTTAGGAATATATGTAATATATTCATCTCACAGAAAATTTAGAAACAATTTAAATATATAAGGAAAATAAAAAGCACAGTTGCAAATCCTAACTTTTTCAATTATTTTATAGTGAGCATATTTCATTTTTAAAAAAATTATATACAGTTATTGATTAACACATAAATGTGTGTGTATATGTATATCAACAATTTCAAAACTGCAGACAAGGCACGATGAGTTGGCACAGAAAACTCACAGGGTCACAGCCACCATACACTTCTTACATTTTTTTTCTTTTTTTTTTCTTTTCTTTTTTTCTTTCTTTTCACTTCTTAGTTTTAAAGGATACACAGCAATATTGGACATGTTCTAGGCATTATGTGAAACGCTAGCTTGACCTACTTCACCATTCCAACATCCTGCCACATTGCATTTGAAGATCTCCAGTCCTAGTGAAGGTGAGCTTTTTATAACTTCTCTCATAAAAAGAGCATCACATGAAAGTAAAAGTGGAACAGAAGATGAAGATGGCAGTCAAATCTGATCCCAAAATCCGAGGAGTTGTACCACACAGGGACACTCATCCCACTAGCAAATGATCATTGCTGTTTTAAGAATTAAATGACATTTTTTTTTCATTTATCTGTTTTTTTTTTTTTTTGAATGGCTACTGAGTTGTTAGGATATAAACATTTATTAAGTAGTCTGGCTCTATTACAGAATGGTCTAGGACAGCTGTGGAAAAATTAATAACATACTGGGGTTTTCACGAAGAAAGAAAGCTTAGAAACCCCTTGCTAAATAACATCTCATCCTATTTATTTTGATGATACACTCTTTTTGTTCATTTAGTGTTACTCCTTTTCTCTTGGAATATGTAACACTGTGATGGACATCTTACAGAACTCTTATCTCTATATATGATTAATATTTTTGGTGGATATTTTGAGGTTGAACTGCTCTCCAAATAATTTATTTAAAAAACCCGAAATGCCTACCTGTATAAAATGGGAATTTATAGTTTTTATGAGACCAATATGATTGATTACTTTTTTTACCTTTGATCATTCATAAGATAAACTATATGTCCTTTTATTTATGAAGAACCTCTTAAAACATTCTATACTTTTACCTTATTTCTTCTATGATAATTATATCTGAGAAAACATAACCTGACCAAAAAAAAAAAAAAAAACTCTCTATAGTCATGAAGTCATAAATGACTTAATATAAATCAGAACTCAGGATTTCTTAGTATTTTGTAATAAATATTAATCAATCCTGTGTTTATGATATATTGCCTATCCTCAAGAATAATAGGTGGTTTATATCATAATTAACTACCAATGGAAAGATTACGACATGTATTTGTTCTGGACTTACTAAACTGCCCTGATGACATGATATATGGTCTGTTCTCATTAAATTATTACTTTGGTACTAAAATTTTTTAACTATTTCCAATATTCTTTGAAATTACAGATTTAGAAATGAATAAATGACACATTAGACCCTAAAGGTGAAAGATAATTTTTCTTTGGAAAATAAAACAAATGGAGTGGGCGGGTATGTGACTGACAATAACACAATGACACAGTCGGAGACTCAAGATCTAGCACAGTGGATGGGTCCTCAGCTCACCTCGTAGTCCAGGTCCAGGTAGTCGAATTCTCCATTGGTGCGGAAGTGCTGCACACCTCTGTCCAGGGTGAGGTTAATGCTCCGGCCCTGGCGCTCAATGACCACAGAGTGCCAGTGGTGATCATCCAGCAGACTTCCAGTCATCACGGACGTGTGGCCATAGATGGGGCCCAGCTGGTTGCTTCCTGAGTCATGGAATGAACAGAAATGAGGCAACAACAGCACAGCCATGCTGTGTAGCAGCACACCTTCCCCTACAGCCACAGGCTGGTGCCCCACTCAAGTCCTGTCCACTGACTTGAGTATGGGGGAACCAGCATGTAAACATACTTCAAGGCAGTTTCATATTCAAATTCATAGAAGCTAATAAAGATGGAAAACACCATCTTTGAAAAGAAAAGAAAAATGAGCTTTTTTTATTTTTTACTGTGCCATGAATTCTGCTAAATGTTCCAGGTTCCTTACAAAGTCAGTGCCCTGTGGCTCGGGAGCCAAGTGCCTGGGTTCTCCTGCTGGCTCCTGGCTCCACCACTGGCTCACTCTGTGATCCTGGGCAAGCTGGCAGCTTCTCTGCACCTATGTTGCCTCATATATAAAATGTAGAAAATTAGGCTACCAGCTTCTCAAAGTTGCTATGATGATTAACTTAATTAATAGATGCAAAGGACTTAACAAACTTCTTGGCATATAGTGAACATTAGCTAAATGTTTACCTGTGAACAGTCTTCTATTGTTGCCGTTATTTTTGTTATTGGTCAAGAAAACACAGCATGATACTTCCCACTTTCCACTGACTCCAAAAGCATAATTTTAAGGACAATGTAATATTTAATGGCATGGAAAATTAACTTGAATTACATTTTAAAATAAAAACTTGCAAAAATATGTATGTACCATTAATCTAGCTTTGAAAGATTTCCATGGCAACACGACTATAAATGAGAGTGAAAGGTTGTGAGAATCTAAAATGTTTACGAGGGTCATCTCTGGATACTGTTTACATGTTTTACACTATCTTCTATTTTGTCTAATCAAGCACTGCTTTTCATGGTCAGGCAAAACTAAATGCTCTAAAAATATAACATGATTCCAAAACAAACAGTATAATATAAATAGGAGAAATATAAATTGATTAGAGCACTGAGTGATTTCCTTTTTTTTTTTCCCCTTTTCACATTTAGAATGCTAATGATGCCTAAACCTGGCATTTTCTATGGTTTTACTGGATCAGATCTTCTTTCCTTCCAGTGATGAAACCAAATGTGCTGTGACTGGGATTGTGATTCAACTGTCTATGCACATGTGGCAGTGGGGCAGAGAGGGAGAAAGAAAAGTAGAAATAAGTCTAAGAAAAGGATATACTCTGTTTTATTACTTTAAATTACTGTAAATGACTAGAAGACTGAGTAGTAGCAGCTAGATATGCCTGATATTTAGGTCATGGCATTAAAAAGGCACAGGGGACATAGGAGTGAGTGCATTTCCACGATTCTCATAAATTCCAGTCAGTCAATAAAACTCTAAGTAAACTGCTTTCCAGTGAAATGGTAATGATCCTTCTGTGAGGTCAGAGGATCAGCAACTAGTTTCAGAACAGTAATGTCACACATATATAAGGCACGGTGGCTTTTAAAGGGCTTCTCTGTGTGTTTCACTAAAAAAAAAAAAAAAAAAAAAAAAAAAAAAAAAAAACAAGAAAGGTTTGAGAAAGCAAACATCCTTAGATATAACTCAATTGCTCTGAGTGTGTGTGTGTGCATATTTTAAAAAGTACTTACATTTGGTTTTCTGATATCTATCCCCCTCAACGCCCCCTATTTCTCCTTATCTTCTACTGAAACTTGTTTCAAAAATGATTTAGAGATATTTTCCCCGGATAATACATGAATACATGTACATAATTATAAGTAGAGAGTATTGTGAAGAATTAATATGTGTTACATTAATAAATCATTTCCAACACTAAACATAGTTCAGTCTAATTCCTTCCAGATTTTTTTCCTATACATATATTTAACTATATACACATATACTTATGTGTGCATATATAATCAAAAATATTGAGATATTACTTTATAATATTTTATACTACAGTTTAATTTAATGTTTTATTTTTTTATTTTTTATTTTTTTAATAATAAATTTATCTTTTATTGGTGTTCAATTTGCCAACATACAGAATAACACCCAGTGCTCATCCCGGGTAGGAAATATCAGAAAGGGAGACAGAACATAAAGACTCCTAACTCTGGGAATGGGTGACAATTTAATGTTTTATAGTAATTTTTTAGAATTAAAATTATTCACAGATATTTTAAATTCACATCGACATATTTCTTCTATATGCTTAGCTTTTTTCCCCAATTTTTGACAGTGTAATCAATATTACCAAGTACGTCCTTGGACTTATATCCTATAACCACCCCCCATTATTTCCTTATATTATTAGACTAAAATATACAGGCAATTTTTAGATATCTGAAGACACTGTCAACTGTTCTATTGAAAATATTTTCTGATACAAAGAACAGTACAAAGAATAATGTCACATATTCATCAATACTGATATTATTTTTAAATTGATTTACTTAACAAAAATTAGTCATTATTTTATCGTGCGTCTATTTTATAGACAGTGCCGTAGAACATCTGATGTTTATAGAATACTTCTACTTTTTCTTCTATGCATCACCTTTTATGTCCTATGTCTACATTTTCTCTTAAAGCCTTGGCATTCTTAAGGAGTGGTATAAATTCTTCCTCATGAATGCACTAAACGTCCATATTTGACATTTGCATTTTTCTAGTTTCACATGCATTGTGATTTTATGTAATGTAAAATAATTCAATATTTTTTGTGTAATTAACCGATCCAGCTTTTTGTGCGGTTTTCTTCTTCATTTTTTCTTATAGAAGCTACTATTTCTATCAGATCAGATTTGAAGTGAGGAAAGTTTCATAATAAATGGTAAATCTTCATAGACATTGTATCAAGTATTACCAACAACAACAACAAAAAAACCTGAAACTGCATATTTTAGTATAGTACTAACTTTCAAAGTAATAAAATTTAAAATGTAGAACACAAGCCATATTCGGAAATGTCTAGACCACTCTGATAAGCAAGTCAAAAAAGGCAGGATCTGGTTTTGGGTTCTTATCTTCAGTTTTGTAGCTTTTGACTGGGACACATATGAACTTTAACAATTAACATATTTTAGTTATAATATTTTTGTAGAATTCTCTTATTATTTACAACAGAAGAAAACTTATGGAATATGTGATGCCTTCCAAAAAATTCTTGCATAAATCCCAAAACTTTTAGCCAACCAAGAGATTTAAAAATGCTTTGAAAACAACAAAAACCCAAGACAAAATAAGAACTCATTCAAGTTTAACTCATTCTTCAGCCAATATTTTATTTCTCAGTTTCTGATTCTCTGATTTCTAGTTAGATTATGTTTGAAAAATTCGGTTCCACATTTCTCATCTTTTCTTAACCTATGTCAATAAAACTACCATCCTTTCTATTCCTCTGAGAGAAAATCAACAGTAACCTCTATGTGGTCTAAGCCAATATTCACCTGCCTATCTTCATCTTAGGTGAATTCAACAAAATAGCTGCCTCTTTTCTTTCCCTGGTCTCTGATACCACACGTTCCCATTTCCTCCTGCTCAATGCCTATTCCCCTCAGTCTTCATGTAAACTTCCTCTCCCTCCCATTAATACATGCAACTCCCTAATTGAAATCTCAACTCTGAAGTCTAATAAGAAATCAAAATGCATCACGTTCATTTTAGACCTCCTCTATTAGAGGAAACTAATAATCCTTTACCAGAACTCTAGAGAAAATATAGACTTGTCTCTACTTCTGAAAATGGCGCTTAAGTTCCTTAGACGTGTAGGAACTTCGCTTCTTCTCTTTCTTCCTCGTTACATATCATGCTAAACTTACCACTGAAGTCATCTCCCACCTAGACCTACTTCCCTGCACCTCCACTGAGCCACCTCTGCAAGCCCGGGCTACATCTCACTTGCATTATGAGGGAGTCTAGCTTTGAAGTTCATGCAAATGCAAACATTTTCTTTTACAGAAGTCTCAGTAAACTTTTAAAAATAAGATCATGATGCCATGTCGTTTAAGGCCTACCAACAGCTTCTTTTTCTTGACTAACACCGCCTAAAACCTTTTCCATGCTGTATAGGATCTTACAGGATTTGAACAATCCCCAACTTTCAGTTTCTGTCTTCTCCACTGACTCACTTCATTTCATCTACCCACACCAGCCTCCCTCCTGTTCCTTGAACATGTTGGATCTTCGTCAGTAGTGACTGGTAGCTGGAATGCTCTTCTCTCGGATATTCTCATGGCAGTTATAGCCATAACCGAGATCTCAGCTAGAGTATCTTCTCCAGGAGGATGTTCCTTCATACATATGCATACGTATCTCTGCAGTATCTCTTATCATTTTAGCTTATTTGATTGATTTTATACCACTTACCATTATTTGAAGACAATGCTTTCGATTTAGTTGTTTTAAAATAATAGATAATATATTTTCTAGCTCCTCCACTAGGTCATAAACTTCGTGAACTTAAGGACCTTCTCTATTGGTTCACCACTGTTTCTCAGATACTAGTATATAGTACCTTGCTAAGGACAAGGACATAAGAATTATTTTTTTAATGAATAAGTACATATGGATTAAACCACTATGGATTAAAGATGAATTGATAATGGCAACTGTTTTTTTATAATTTCCATTTTAAGAATTAAGGAACATTCACATTTTACTAATGGGAAGATTAATAAATGAATAAAATGGTGCCAAAAGTCAGAACATACCTAGGTTTAAGCTGAAGACCAGCTTGGCTTTTTTCAGTTCCAGGGTGATGTAATCCCCTTGCTGTCCTTCCCCATGCAAGATCACCCCTTCACTTTCAGAGGTTTTAAATTTCAAGGCAATGACGTCTTTCAGTGTTTTCATCTTCTTGTTTCTGAATCTATATGGTAACACGACGTGGCCATCAAAGTTGATAACATCAGCCCCTAAGAGAAGAAACAAATAACATTTTATTTCAGTTCTTGGATGTCACTACCCAGTGTGAAATACACCCGCTTCCAATGGGTGTCTGCACAGAAGAAATGAGAAAGAAGTGTTTTTTTCCTGAAAAAATCTGGAGTCCTGGGTTTTTGTTCTATTTCTTCTTTTGGTTTGTCTGTTCTGAAATAAACTTTATGGAAAATATTCATAAAAATTGATCAAAGAAATCTTTATCAGTATCAAATCATCCTTTAATTGTAATACTAACAACATAAATACTGTTAATGATTTGTAAGCTTCAAATTTTAACTTGTGGGATCCCTGGGTGGCACAGCGGTTTGGCGCCTGCCTTTGGCCCAGGGCGTGATCCTGGAGACCCGGGATCGAATCCCACATCAGGCTCCCGGTGCATGGAGCCTGCTTCTCCCTCTGCCTGTGTCTCTGCCCTTCTCTCTCTCTCTGTATGACTATCGTAAATAAATAAATAAAAAAAAAATTAACTTGTGAGTCTGGAGTTTACTTGAAAAAGAAATAAAATTTTTAATTCTTGACATATTATGAGGTTTTAATGTTTTCCTTCTTAAATGGGACTGATTATTCATGATTTTTAAGTACACATTTTGCTCACAAATTTATTTTTTTGACATAAGAACAAAGGATCCTGAAATGTGGAATTTAATGATATACTCATTCCTCTAATGGTTTTTAATGTTCTACTGCATTTTCAACAAATGTTATGGTAGTACCCAGAGTTTATAGCTAACTGAACTTCAAGAAGCTTTGTGCTATTTGCTCTTGGACTTCAAGAAGAACAAATACACTATGACTAGAGTAGCTCTAATTTGGTTTTAGAAAATTTTACTGAAGACATGAAATGATATAGGCTTTTTAAAAATATAAACAATTTTGTCACCACCCTCGGAAACAAGTGATGGTGGGAAGGGGGGTGGTGGGTTAGTTTCATAACTGCCACTTACTCACATCAGAAATGGAAAATGACATGAATCTTATTATGCACTAGTGGTCAGTAGGTTTCAAATTCATGGAATGGCTCAAAGATGAACTGTAATTATTCAGAGTAGATTTTGAGTACAAATAGAAACCCACTTATCATAATTAGACCTTTGTAATTAAAAATATTTTTTAAAAATCCATTTCTTAAGCTTTTGATTTTGAATAATAGAAAATGCAGTCAAACTGGATAGCTCTAATTACTTTAGAATTACAAGCCTGAATGAAGCCTGCCTCTCAATTTGGAGCAAGGTCTTGCTAAGGATTTTCACAGTGACAGTGGAGAAAAATAATAGCAAGTTTAAAGCCTGTTGGAGAAATATTTTTTTCATCTCATGTCCTAAGTCCCTGGCACCTGTATACTTCAATTGCCACAGGAAATACCATGGATCCCAACTCTCAAGTAATAAGAGCATGTCCCCTCACCGTAGCCTCAGTGGAAGTGCAGAGCTACCATAGCTAGTCACTCTTTTTGTGCACTACTTGCAATTATAAGTTTTGCTCTTATTTCTTATTTGAGATTTGTCGTATTCAAAAAAATTCAGAAAGAAAAATGGAACTTTGCACTTTAAGTTTTCATTCTTATAGTCGATTCTTTACCATCCATAAAAAGACCTTCTTAATCAACAAAATTCTGTTCTCTAAGACTGTAAATCACAGAGGTTTATTTTACTATGGGGGGAAAATCAACCATTAAATTTAGGCTTCTGCTAACACTGCAAAGCCAATTAGACTTTAGCTTAATCATCTATACTGTCACAGCTGAATTCCAATTGCAGTATCTTTATCATCTGTGATGAGAGGTAAGAGAGAAAAAAGTGGAATCTGATTATAAGATCTCAGGTTGAATTTATAAATGCAGCAGTTGGAAGAAATTACTTTTTGTCTGAAAAGTGCATAATTGAAAAGTCAGGAGGAGGGAGTAAATCCTGAACCCCAGAAAGTAATTTTGCAGTCAATTTCATGTCAGTGACAGTTGACTTATAGACACATCATTTTTAAATATCTTCAATATATATTAATTGACATAAAATATTCCCCATTCATCTTTCAGGAAGTAAATGTTCTCTAAGCTTAGATAGAGGAAAGAACCCACCCCTACCATATCTTCTCCTAAATCAAAATTTACAATCAGTTCTAGGTATGGAGTAGTACAAATGCTGGTGCCTCTCTTCCCCAGTTTTAGAGCAATGGAAAGAGTGAGAGAAAGAACGGGCATGGTTTATTTCTTCAGAGAGTCGTAGAATATCAGCAAAAACATAAAGGAACACTATTTATGCGGACTAAGCCTTATCTTGCAAATGGTAAGTGGTCATTTGAGAAATTGATAAAATGCTCTGCAAACCAGGCCTTTTACATTATGAAATCAAAGTTGTTCTTCTGTAACTGGGTTAAAGCTTGCATAATATCAGCATAAAGATGTGAGCTCAGAGTTGCCTTTGAAAACACAAAATTCCTAGAAATAACCTGTGATATAATATTCATACAGAAATATATTCATACACTTTTAACAGAGTCCGGGATATGGTAAAATCTATTAGAATTTAATTCTATTTCCTACAAAAATATATTTAAATTTCATTTGACATCTAATAATATGTTGTGCTTATTTTGGGACAAGCCACCTTTTTTTCCCCTATTACCCTGATTGCTTATCACTCCCTAGAATTAAGTTTTCTATGCAGTGATTAAATATGTATGGTTGAACTGTTTAAGCAATCTGAGCAACAACAATGGCTAGTCAAAGAGTGAATGCAAAATCACAGCGCTTCCACAATTTTGTTTCTAACAATAACTCAGAGAGCTGGTAACGTGCCCAGTTCATCAAAACATCATGGGAGAGAAGGCTTTTTTTTCTTTTCTTTTTAATTTCATTGTTAGTCTTTACTTTGATTTTGGAGAAGACATTTTGGAGAAGAGGGTTTACCATCTAAAGATTTTAATAGTTAAAAAAAAAGCCTTTGCTATATTTTTTTACTACAAGTTTAATATATATTTACTACTGAAAGGAAATCAAATAATACAGAAACAGAGAACGTATAATGTGACTCCCAAAACAGGAGATCACCAATATGATCGATATGGGCAAAAGGTCAGTGCACAGCCTTCCAGATGTTATTCATTTACTTATATATCCACCTACCTCCTCATGTAATGTATGGAATTATTCATATATTATTATGTATACATACATGCATAGATGTGTGTGTATATGTGGGCGGTGTGGGTGCATGTGTCAGGGCAGTAGAGACAGGGATGAGAATGTCATTTCCTTTGGATATAGTTCAAAATGTTGACTGGTAAGCAGCTTGAATGTTGGGTAATATAATATTTATAAATATTAGTTGGGAAATTGTATGTTTTAGCTAATTAGTATATTTTGTTGGTCTTCATGCACCAAGGCACTTATATAAAGTAAGAATATATCTAATTTGAAAGGTAATTTATCCTGTTTATTTGAAAAAGTTAAAAATGTAGGGATGCCTGGGTGGTTCAGTCAGTTAAGCATCTGACTCTTGGATCTGGCTAGGATCATGATCTGGTCATGAGACTGAGCCCCACATGGGGATCCATGCTCGGCCTAAGTTGGCCTGAGATTGTCTCCCTCCCCCTGAACTCTGGAAGTAAAGTTTAAAAACATTATAAAAGATAGACTTTGCTTAGTTTTGCAAATGTTCTTTTTCTAAGTCAGAGGTCAATATTTTGGATATGACCAAACAGCATTCCTGCCATCTTTACTCTTTATCCATCCACTGATTTCTATTCTTGATAGTATTTATCCCTATCATATATTTTTTTAAGATTTCATTTATTTATTCATGAGAGACAGATTGAGAGAGACAGAGAGAGAGGCAGAGACAGGCAGAGGGAGAAGCAGGCTCCATGTAGGCAGGTGGATGCGGGACTCGGTCCCGGGACCTCAGGATCACATCGGCCCCGGGCCAAAAAGCAGGCACCGAACCACTGAGCCATCCAGGGATCCCCTGTACCTGACATATTTATGTGCTTCTACATTTATAGCATTATACACACTCTCTTCTGCTGAAAACATATGCATCAGAGACTTTGTGTTCCCCCTTCCACCCTGATGCCCAGTACTTAGTGCCTCAGAAACAGCCCCTACTCATTCAGTATTTGTTAAATGATTGTATGTTGTCATTGCTATTTCAATAAATTGGATTAAAGTATTATAGACATCATTGTTTTATACTTTTTCGTTAGAGATGAGAATCACTAGTTGCAAGAGACATCAAGAATCATTCTGATCCCTCTTGGTGCTGTAATTATTCAAATATACAAGGTTTCAGCTGTTGGAGAAAAAAATGGTAATATTAGGCTACATGCTGTGGTGGAGGGTGGAATTCACTCCATTTTTATTAATTGAATCGGTATTATTCAACCAACAGACATTAACTCTGGAGGTACGTGATCTATTTCATCTCATCTGCACACTGCTTTGATCTGGTTAATTTCTTCCTTCTAATCCACTGCCTTTTCTTTCAGTATATCTGTGGTTTAAACCTAAAAGTTAAAATAGACCCCAAAATGTCAATAGCAGCTAATTTAGAGAAATAGCAAATGAGCCTTCTCCAAATCCTTTGAAAAATATCTAATATAGACTCTGAAAAGTCACTTCTCTTTCGGGAAAAGAGTAAAAGAAAAACAAAAACCTTCAAGGCTCTTTCATGAAGGTCAGCATCTCACATTTTGTGCAATATTTCTCCTTAAAATGTGCTGCTTTGCTGCTGGGCATCTACCCTAAAGATGCAGATGCAATGAAACGCCGGGACACCTGCACCCCGATGTTTCTAGCAGCCATGTCCACAATAGCCAAACTGTGGAAGGAGCCTCGGTGTCCATCGAAAGATGATGGATAGAGAAGCTGTGGTCTATGTATACAATGGAATATTCCTCAGCCATTAGAAACGACAAATACCCACCATTTGCTTCAATGAGGATGGACCTGGAGGGTATGATGCTGAGTGAAATAAGT